CAGTGTCCATTTCTACTTTCTGGAAAAGTAACTAGCACAGCAAGGGTAAATTTGGGAGTCAGTCAGTCTATTAGCATAAATTACACTATATATCTAGAAGATAATAAGGGCATAGCAAAGACACATTGTACTAATACTGTATGCAATTCTGAGTGCGCTTTGGAACATACCTCTTTTTTTGATGCGTAGTCTTGAGTACCTACATTTTGAGAATTTGGCCCTTGATAACTGCTTAGTCTGGTACCAATACAGTCTCCGTCAAGAATTAAATGAGCTATGTTTGACTCCATACGCTCCCGGCCTGGCTCAAACGTTAGATTCAACAGAAAATAAGTGCTGAGCCCCCACTGTTCTCGTGGGCTTCAGCGGGGAGCAGCCGTGCTCAGCATCCTTTAGGGCCAGGCCCTTCCCAAGGCCCTCCAGGTTAACAGCTGGTTCTGTGCAGAGCTGTGGAAATGCAAGGCTGGCGTTTTGAGCTCAGCGCAGCAGGTACACACCGCACAGCGATGGAAGTGGGAGTACGACTGCATGACGCTGGGGTGGACTGAACTTGCCCTTGTTTGATTTTGGGCACAAGAAAGGGGCTGCATGAGGCGTTCAAATCCCTCTGGGATAAGGTGTTTTCCAGTTGACCTACCTAGGACACAGATTGGCCCAGTGGCCATATTGTATAAGGACAGGTAGGACAATCAACTCTTTAACATACAGACAATGAACACCCGCACCCAGAGAGAATACACAATTAAGGCTTCCTGATTAATCTGATATCATAGAGCAGAGAGACAACGGGGAATAGGCATATCCTGAAAGAGGTAAAGAGCAATTATCTACCTATGCGAAATATATACCATATGTATTTAAGTGCCAATTTAAACTTGGGCTATTGCCACCTGTTCTAAAATTGTCCCATGAAAGGAGAAGGTTCTAAGTGCAAAACATTATCCAGAAGTTCAGTTATGCTAGCACCATAAATTGCTTTTGCATACATTTTAGGAAATGCAATGTCTGTGCTTTAGAAGATTATGCTTTCACTTACCTAAAAGAACAACTGTATCTTGGTTAAAAACAGCTTGATGTAAAGATGGAAATATCTTAGAGACATTTGTCTTTAAATATATGCAAATAAATGGTCGGCAGCCTATGACCTCTAGCCATAAAAGTGTTTATGCATAACTTTAAGTTAAATTCCATGGACCAGCTCATGTGTTTAAAGATAAGCCTGTCTTCAGGAGCTTCCCTGGACAGAGGACCTAGAGTCTTAAAGCCTAGTGAATCAAAACACGTATTGAGCTTTCACACTGTGATGTGCAGAGGTAAAGAAGCTTTTGTGATTGTCTTGAGCATGTGTTGTGATAAGGAAGCCTAACATTTTCCTGTGTGTAAGTACTGTTCCATTGTCTTCCACGGAAAGACGTTTTTGTTTGCTCTGAGAATCCAGAGTTATTAAAATCAGTCTGCGCAGTCTTTGCACAGACAGGAAAAAAGCTTCAAAATCTGTTGACTTTAAAGGTTGTTGGGTTTCTTTTTTCTCCTGAGCAAGGACTGCAGGGCCACACCGTCATTACTCCTTGAGCCAAGTATTGAGCTTTCGGTGCTCCCTGTGTTTGATGTTTACTACCGGAAGACCCAGTGAAAAATGGCTCATACATTTTGTATTACTTTAAAAGGCAACAACATCTCCTCTATGCAGAATGCAGAATTCAGAATGAAAGCTGCCCTCATGTGTTAGCATGAAAAGCATTTTTCAAATGTATAGTGAGATTCAGGCATATATGTGCTTAATCTTAAAACCAATCTGCAAGTCAGCTTGCATTTGTATTATTTTTTATTATTATCCTTCGTACTGTGGAAGTGCTTAGGAGGACCAGTAATGAGTCACGATCCTGCTGTGCCAGACCCTATATAAACAGAACCGAAAGAAGATCCCTTGTCGATAAACTGACACTGCTTCTACATGAGTGCACTAAATGATACTTGCATCGTGTCTATCACTGAGGCTGAAAAACTCTATGCTACTTCTTGCTGGTATAAACCTGAGATCTGACCTTCCATCTTTGAGATGCTGTTTTGGTCTTATACCACTGAAGTCGATGGGAGCTTTGCCACCAGATTCAGTGATGAAGGTAAGTCAGACCCTTAGTAACCTGAAATGCAGCTCAGCGGCATGCGATGCAGATGTACGGTGTGTCTCACTCCCCAAGGAGCTTCCCGTCCCTTGGAGCTACGAGGAGCACAGCACTCTTGAGATCATGCACAGCTGCAGCCTACAAACATCCTTCTTGCCCTACCGTGACTCACTTCTGTACAGACAGATATTTCTGCATGGAAATGTCCTTTGCTGTAAACTTTCAGACCATTTAAATGGCGGTTTTGACAATTTTACACAGTGCATCTTTGAATATAAATCATTTTTCATAAACTATTTCATGGCTTTCTCTAGTTACACTTTTTTTTTCCTCCAAAATTCTGGGGAATTCCAGAACATTTTGCAATTAGCTAAGGATTATATTTCCTTATTTTTATTAATTTTATGTAAAGTGGGATTTATCAGTGGAGCATTCATTGACACTGACTTCAATTTATTCTGATGAAACTGACTGACATCTGTGTGTGCTGTTCATCAGTCATAATTTAAACCATTCTTAATTGCATTAAATGTAAATTAAGACATTCAATTTCAGCCATTATTTTTCATAAAACACTGTGAACTGAATTTTAGTGGGTCATGAGATCTTACATTCAAAATAAATAGGGTAAATTCAAAACTTACCATTGATGTTCATATTTCACCCTTTGTCGACTGTATTTCTTTTGTAGCTTACTAGATTGGAACAATTAATTTTCTCTCTGAAGGGAACATGAATGGCTAAAGATGATGTAGCTGGATTTTTTAACAAATGACTTTATCATTTCTAGAGCTTGCTTGTCACCACAATGTATTAAATATATTAAGAGAAAACTAAATTAACCTTTCATCTAAACCAAATGACAAATTAAAACAGAAAATGCAAACAGCGCCAGAATCAGTTCTCAGATTTTGAACTCACAAGGGGACGCCGTTGGATTCATCTGCTGAGCTCCTCGATGAGATGTGCAAAGCGAAACCTGTTAGACAAGGAGGGCTTGGATCAGGCAATGTTCAAAATAACGGGAGGACATGAAGGCTGCACTTCTGTAAAGGAGCATTGCATTCAGCAAGCAGGCTGGTGTACTCTGCTGGAAAGGCCTGATATTTCACTTTCTGAAGTTAATACCAAAGTGCCTGTTTAGGCCAACAGATCTGGCTCTAATAAATGACTCATGCAAGCACCAGCAAACCTCACCGGTGAGGAGGAGATTTTTAAAGCAGTTTGTTTTACTCCAGGTCAAGGGAGTCATCGGACGTTGTTGCTTGATGGAGGGAATACCCTCGCGAAGCCGACTGTCTGCGTGAGCCCGGCAGGACTCTGCTTGTGCTGGGCCGAACGGGCTGAGCGGGGTTGTGCTGCGCGGCGGGCGCGGGGGCCAGGGAGGCGAAGCCCTGGGCCAGCCCGGCCTGACCCCGCTCGTGCTCCGCGTCGGGGACTCGGGTGCTGGTGTGAAATGGGTGCACGGCGGGCTAGCCGGCACCAGCTTGCCCTCGCAGCCCGCCGCTAAAGAAGGGGCCGTGACCTGGGAGAGGCTCTGGGCTGCTCCCAGGATTCGTCCTTCTGATTAAGGATTAAGGCTACTTGTCTGGCTGCAGCTTTTCAGGACGGGGTGCAAAAGCTGGCCACGCAAGGGAGGACCACAGCACCTCCTCGCTTCTCTTACATATGTAGTAAAATTTTCTATAACTATTATATACAACATTTACATTCTCATGTCAGTTCGACTGATGGAGAATGAAGTGTTGCAATAAGTCTGGAGACGGGTAGTGATGCAATCGTTCTACCAGTTTCTTGCTATTAATATATGTCTCTTACTCATTTTTAAAGATAGCATAAATGAGGGTACTGAATATAAATGGCTTTTGTAAGTCATTGAGGTCAGTGAAGCATGTCATTGTTTGCAACTTGAATTCCATGAAAGCACTGGCCGGCTGAGAGGCACACTGTATTTTTTTCTCATAAATAAAACCCACAAACAATATTCAGCATGTTTAATGATAATTATAAAATAATACTGTGTACAATGAGTTTCCAAAGCCAGAACTAGTTGCAAGTGCTTAATAATATGACCTTACGATGTCATCGTCAGTGTACGTGATGCCTATATGCCAGCAATGTATAAATTATTTCTCTGGCTGTACGTTAGCAAACATTTGATTATGATTTATTTTGGGGTTCTCTGAAAGATGAAGTAAGTTCTTTAATATTAGCATTACTAATGGTTTTAATGAGGCATTAAAATGTTGCAGTATTGTAGGAACATTTTTCTTTTTTAATATTATTTCATTAATAGTTTACATGAATGTTAAATGTTAAATTGATTATGGAACCTGAAAGAGTAATCCACAAAATGTCAAAGTGCCATTAGCACAGCGAAAGAGCCCTCCAAAGGCAGAGATCTGGTGAGAGCTAATGAGATATCTCTGTACCACATAACACTGAAACAGCTTTTTTCTAAAATAAAGACTGAAAATTAGGTTTTAATATACTTCATTTTGGGACTCTCCAGACATTTCAGGGATTGAGTGCTAGGCCTCACACATGCAAAAAGCCAGCTCAGGTGCCAGGCCCAACAACTTCCTCAGAATTTGGGTCTTATTTATGTGAGCCTAAGGTAAAAACTCAAAAAAGCTAAATAAAAAAAAATAAAAAAGGTCTTTCATAGGATCCAAAGACTGCATAATCCATCTATTGACACCTCTGTAGAGCGGATCAGCCACAGGGATTTATGGTTCACCTGCTGTTATTGCTGTACACATTGCTTTTTAGCTGAACAAGAAAGAGCACAATGAACACTTCTGGTAAATTTTGCTAAAGCTATTTTTTAACTAAAACTCAGTTTTCTTAGAGTGCAGGTATTTTCAGGGGAACATGGGGAAATATGCTGCGTTAGAAAATCTAAATGAAAATTGGTACAAGGCAAGGTGGAAAAGGCCCTGGTATATGTAAGTAAGGTTCAACATCAATAATTCACAAATTTGGAGGGTAGGTGTGTTTAGAAAGACTTGTCCCACAGCAGCTCCGACTTAAGCAAACAGCACTTATGCAGCAGATGAACCAAGGTCTTACCGACCTTGGCAGCTTTACAGGGTAAAAGTCAATGTAAAGATGAAGTGTTCTTGAACAATTTCAGCTCTGTGCTAGGTAAATCCATGCTCTCATGCGCTTTCTATATATGTCTTGAATGTTCTTGTTCTTGATAGTTTTATTGTGGCTGGGGCAAATAAAATCTATTCTCTCTCTATGATTTCTTTTTATATTACAGGAAGATATTAAGAGGAGAATTGGCCCATTATTATGGTTCCTTGCTAATGGAGTCCCATGCTATGGAATATATAAGAGCATTCACGGATGATAATTTGTGTGAGAGCCTCAGGCTGGCACCAGAGCAAAAGGTATGTTGCCTTTGAAGTATGATCATCAATAAAAATGCCTGCTTGCAGTCTCCCAAAAGCCCAACTGCTGCTATGGCATTCCACATAAAGTCTTGACTACTGATGTGCAAGCTTTTCTCATAGCAGTTATTGCCAGGCTTGGCAGTCCCTCTTTCACCACCAGGGCCAGCCCGCTCCCAGCACCTTTCAAATAGTTATGGCCGGAGGGTCAGACCTCCAGGGGTCCTGGGCCTAAGGCAGGGGACAGCGCCAGGACATGGTGCCACTGAACGGGAGGTGGCTGGTGCGTCTTCAGTCTGAAGACCATTGGAAGTGGTTTGGGGCTTTGGCCTGGCACAGCACCCTTCACAACACTTGACCTGCAAATAAGCCCTGACTTCATGGCAAGCAAAATTGTTAGGTACTGTACTCAGTCCGTGCAGCACAGTCCTACGGTAGATTAACAACTTCTCACGGTGTCTGAGATCAAGCGGGAATGAGCAATTCAGACTTTCTCCGATATGGGATTGCCAGACACTGGCTTTGCTGTGGTCAGCAGAGGGAGTTGAATACCCAGTCATGATCTGGTTGTAGACAAGGTGTCAGACTTTGCAATTCTGGGTCATGCATGAACTGAATGTCTCTCATCAAGGTTTCACAAACAATCAAAATGCTTGAAAAGGCTTGTCTGCCCTGACAGCAGCAGGAGCAGAAAGGAAACTCCAGTCCTCCACCGTCCAAATCCATGCTGTATCATTCTCATCTGTCTAAATCACCTTCCTCTAAACTGAGACTCAGGCTGAAGTGGAGCAGAGAGCTCAGTTTTGGGCGAGATCTCTTTCTTTCTACAACAGGAAAGATTTGTTCAGTCATGAATCAGGCAAACAAGCCTGAATGAAATACTCCAGGAAAGGATGAAGTATTGCCATATGGCTCTACAGCCTCCTCTCTACCTCTGGGGCACACAAATGCTACCTGCTTTTCCTTTGTGGCAGCGTGACGTTTTATGTGCTGTGACCATCCTCTGGTCTGTAGTTCAAAAAAGGCTTCTTTGCTTTGTGCAGCTAGCGGCTAGAGGGCTATATGGGTGGCTGTTGGATGAAAAGGAGTAAGAGGGTAATATGAGGCAGGCAGACGTACTGCCAGGCACTGTGCAGTGGGCTGAGCCTTGAGTTGTGGATGTTCTAGTGTAGGACTTTCTATGCTTGCTGCTTTGGTCCAGTTTCGTCCTTCTCTGGAGTCCCTCCCTCTGAACAGGCATTTCTGCCTGCGCTCTCTGTTTCATCCCCAGTCTCGCCTTTACCTATGTATCTCTGATGTAGCATTTTCCATTTATGACTCTTGTTGCACTCTTGTAATGGCAGTTAGTTTGATCCAACAACACCCTTAAGAAAAGCACTTCTTGTATGTCACAGATGTGGAAACTGAGGGCCCATAGCCCCACCCCTATCGTACTTGTTCTCTATCTGCCACAAGCAGTGAAAATACTTCCCTGGGCCAAATGAGAAGACTACTATGCTGCCCAAAGGAAAACTCTTAAAGAAATTATTAGAGAATGCATTGTTGCTGGAAACAAAAGGCCTTGGGGGAATTACTGCAAACAGCCCTTTTTAAAATAAAACTCCATAGCGGATATTACTCCTTCTACCTTCCCCATAAAAATTCCTTGGATGATTTCATAATTCACATACTTAGAATATCTTTATTCGATGTCATAGGGTTTTTCGATAAGGATGAAAACTGGGTTGAAAAGAGGTCCAAACATTTCTATCTACCATGGTTTGTTTGGGCCCCTTTAGCTGCAAAACTGGATTTTTGTAGCTTCTCCCAGGACAGGGACAGAGTCAGCAAAGATGGTCCTGAGCACCACTCCGTGGACAGAATGGTCCACGGTTTCAAGTTACCCCTCACTTTTCCAGGGGTAAACAGGCAGCAAAATGTAATTTGGGCCTTGAGAAAACACATCTTAGCTGTCATGAGTCAGAACAAGGAGGTAGTCTCTCTTCCCTTTCCTCTCTCACCTTAGAAATTAGTGAGGGCAACTTTAATAATTAAAGCAACAACTAAAATAAAAAATCAGATAAGTAGTTAATAAATAGACCATTTTCCAATGATAAGGAGAAAGCAGATAGGCTGAGAGAGATGTATCTGGCTTTTAGGCAGGAGTCTTCATTCTTCTACAATTCGATACAGAGCTCTGCTTCATTTTCGTTTCGCTTGGGAGTTCTGTGTAGAAGCTGATGGTATGGTTTGGTCCACTATACTTAAGAGGGCATGTTATTTATTATTAGATGTGTGTATGTAATCTGAATATTCCAGCTTGCATCTAACGCATCTAATGGCCTCTCCCTGTTCTCTTACACAGTAGAAACTGTGCACCAAATCTAAAAGGGGATTTTCCTGAAGCAAACACTGAAGGATTGGCCCTTGATCCATTCCTGACATTAGCGAATAAGCACAGAGTTAACCTGGAATCCTCTGCTATTTGCAATCCAGTGTCCTGGCTTCCTTCAAGGGAGAGCTTTGGGTGAATTCATTTTCAGCTGAATATGTCATTAAAGACATTTACTAATGCATTTATTAATGACTTATTAATGCAGATGGAATCAAACTGAGCCCCCTGGTGCAAATACTCTAGGACCTCAAGGAAATACACAACTGCTTACTGGGCACGTGGTTTGACAGCTAGCTCCTGCTATCAGATGTGGATATATAGGCAATATTAGGTATTCTGTTTAACACTGTACACTTACATTCATTACCACTCAGAATAATAAAAACTTCCCATTTTACAGTGACATTTATTTACCACTGAGCAGCAGCTCAGGTGGAAGAACTCCCAGTCCACTACTGTATATAATCTCAGGGTCTGTCATTCACATGTAGAAAACTCAGCTCTCTATTTAGCACAGTGTTGGTGAAAGATAGACATTTACAGGGCCCCTCTGCCCTTGAGCTGTTCCATTAGTGCATGGAAAGCACCTTGCAGCCTGTGACAAGCGCAGCAGATCGGCACTAAATCAAAAATCAGTGCCAGCCAGGGATCTAAGCCACCATGAAGGTCACAGCCATCAGCTGCATGCCATCTCAATCCAAACAAAACACGCTGGATACGGGGGGGATTTTCACTACTCACAATAGGAGACAAACATATCATGTTAGAGTAATCCCCCGATAGCAGCGAAATGGGTAACTGACCTTTTAAATACTTTTGAGTATTTAATAAAACTTTGAAGACAAGGGGAGGGAGGTGTTGGTAATTTTTGGGTGCTTTTTATATTGTAACTTAAACGTTGGCTCTGTGCCACAGCAAACCAAAGTGTTAACAAAGATTTTCTCTCCCAGTGTTGGGAGAGCTCATATGTTTTAAAAAGGCTTGTGAGTTAATTCTCTCTATTCAAGCTTTTTTCCTAGATAAAAGCTCCCTGTTCTGAATAATTTTCTCTTTTGAACATTAAGAAACTTACTGAAGTGTCTTTAATTGGTTGATCAATGTAAAAGAGATTTAAGATGCAACACAGCTTTATGGCGAATCGTATCTTTCCTAAAAAATATAAACCAAAGCAGTGTTCAGAATTGCACACTGTAATAGTAGCACAAACCTGAATGAAGGGAAAATAGTAGAAGGACAGAGAGATTAAGAGGTTTAAGTAAGACAGTGAAGGTAGTCTATCGATTAAGGTTTATGAGATGAAGAGATATTAAAATAGCGGGATCTGAATGAACTACGATGTGCGTCTTCTTTCGGTAAGGTTGCCAAAGAGACGTCAAATGTATGGCAGTGAGGAGGGCAAACAGACACCTCCGTATGGACATTAGTGGGGGACGTTCTCACGGGGATCCGTGCAGGATGTGTACCTAGCTCTCCCCGCTTCCTCTGCAGGAAGTGGCATCTAAAACTGCTTCCTTGCTTAGCACTCCTCAGATTCAAGAGAACAGGGAAGAAAGAGCAGTGACAGAGATAAACAAAGTATTTCATTCCCACGTGGCCTCCAATGGTAGATCTCCCTATACATCCCTGAGCCCCAGGCTGGGAGCCTCCTCCACCTGGGGAACACCATTTACAGGCAAATCCTGGGACCAACTGGCTGGTGCCCTGACCATTAGGGACGTGGCTTAACCCAGAGCGGATCTGAGAGCGTAGGCTTCTGTTTGGGGTAGCCTGGCCTCCTGCAAACTCTCCCAGGTTCACAAAGGGCTTGAGGAACAAGCTAAACCCCGGCATCCTTCCACGGATTTAGCCCCTTCTCTTTGGAATAATTTTGGAGCAAAGTCCCTATGTGAACTCCAGAGAAAAATGCTTTTCCTTCCCCAGGGTGCCTTCCCCCAGTCTTTACTGAGGGAGACCCCCTCCCTGTCCCTTAGAGTGGACAGTGTGCTCTGACCGATGGAGTCTTTATTTCCCCAGCTCTATAGTAATTTATATTCTGTAATAGAAAGAGAAAAAATAGAAATATGTTGCATGGAGAGTTCATACATAGCCTGCCTGTCTGTGTGTGTGGTGTAGAGAGATTGCGGGAGGGCAGGATGGTTTGCCTTCAATATCCTACATAGCTAGGCTTGTGTGCTACTGCACATGAGTTTTATAAAGAGAATGAGGCCCCTTTGGAATAAAATGACCAGAATAGGGAAAACAGAACTGCTTCCCTTTAGAAATGTCTACCTCCTGCTTTGTGAATCTCTATTAGAAATGTAAAATGTGTAAAACAAAAAAAATGGGTCTGAATGGATAGTATACAAATAACATTTATGTAATCTGTGTGAACAGATCTATTGAACTGTCAAACCTTATTTTAAGTATGGTGTTTCAGCTTTTGACAGAGTAATTGGCTGCACCATTAACTATATAGAAAGCTAATTTGAATAAGATACTAAACAGTGTACTGGGTCAGGCTAAAGGTTCACTGGTGCCCAGAAGTGGATGCAGCTTCATGAGAAAAGAGTGCAGGAAACAGGGCAGAGATACAAGTGACCAGTTCCTTACTGCACTTCCAGAGCTGTGGGAATCTGCCTGAGCCAGA